GTTTCTGCTCTTTCTTTCCACTCAGGTGAGAGCGAAGTGTTCTGCAGGTAGAACTTTTCTATAGGAATCACATCTTCTAATCCCCCCACCAAATCAGAAGGCAAGACTAGACTTACTGGATTCACTTGTCCTATCAGCATTTGGGCCTGTAATTTCACTGGCAAGTCAGTGATGTTGCCAACACTGACTAGAAACCTCCAGTGACTTTGGTGTAAAGCCCCAATCAACACTACTTCAGACATTACACCCACCCCTGTGTCCTTTCCCCCAGAATCGGCTTGAAGGACAACAAATGGTCCTGGTTGATCCCAGGTGAGCTTGACTGAAGCACAAAGACATGCCACTTCCCCTGGCTGCAGTATCTTTTCATCTCTATCTAATTGCCCACAACTTCCCACTCTTGACATATTTTGCCTTTTATACCATACACACCAAACTCCCGTAGACCTTCAGGATGCTTTCACACTGATGCGGTTTTTCTGCACCACTGGTGCAGTGCAGTCTACTTGCAGGTTTTCACTGGTTGTCATAATTTTAAGGTTCTTGAACCTCAATGAAATGGGTTTAAATTGTGTGTAACTAGCAGTCTTTAGTGAAGAGCAGAGGATGTACAACCTGCTTGCTTAAAACAAAGATGTCGTATGGCTGTCTGGTGCAAAAGCGTTTGCAAGAATGTACCCTTCTTTACCTTAGTTTCAGTTTCTCCTTCATTGTGTTAGCAAGGATTTTAGGAAGTAAAGTCTTTTCATCTCTTAGAAAGACAAGGAATCTTGGAAAAAATAACTACATTAGACTATACTGAGTCTTCTTGGAAAGTTGGACAATGCCTGTGGATCTTGTTGATACTGTATCAAGTTACTATTTATACAAACTGAATCTCATGAGGGGTTTTTGCTCAAAGTGATATTTGTGAGAGAGCACAAAGGAATAAGCAATATGACAGACAGGACATGGCAGTTGGTGAAGTATATTTTTGTAGCCCCAGAGATCTAGAAGAGGAAGAGTTAGGAAGCAGAATGGTCCTGTAGTCTGTCCTGTAGTCTGTCGAATCCAATAAAAAAGAAAGGATAACACCCTACGGCAGTGATGGCGAACCTTTTTGAGCCCGAGTGCCCAAACTGCAACCCAAAACCAACTTATTTCTTTCAAAGTGCCAACACTGCAATGAAACCTGAATATCGAGCTTTTGGTTTAGAAAAAACAACTCGTACAGTAGTGCAAACTAATTAACAGTACAGGGATGACCAGAGACTGCGGACACAGTACAGGGATGACCAGAGACGGACACAGTACAGGGATGACCAGAGACTGCGGACAGTACAGGGATGACCAGAGACTGCGGACAGTACAGGGATGACCAGAGACTGCGGACAGTACAGGGATGACCAGAGACTGCGGACACAGTACAGGGATGACCAGAGACTGCGGACACAGTACAGGGATGACCAGAGACTGCGGACACAGTACAGGGATGACCAGAGACTGCGGACAGTACAGGGATGACCAGAGACTGCGGACAGTACAGAGATGACCAGAGACTGCGGACACAGTACAGGGATGACCAGAGACTGCGGACACAGTACAGGGATGACCAGAGACTGCGGACACAGTACAGGGATGACCAGAGACTGCGGACACAGTACAGGGATGACCAGAGACTGCGGACACAGTACAGGAGATGACCAGAGACTGCGGACACAGTACAGGAGATGACCAGAGACTGCGGACACAGTACAGGAATGACCAGAGACTGCGGACACAGTACAGGGATGACCAGAGACTGCGGACACAGCACAGGGATGACCAAAGACTGCGGACACAGCACAGGGATGACCAGAGACTGCGGACACAGCACAGGGATGACCAGAGACTGCGGACACAGCACAGGGATGACCAGAGACTGCGGACACAGCACAGGGATGACCAGAGACTGGGGACACAGCACAGGGATGACCAGAGACTGGGGACACAGCACAGGGATGACCAGAGACTGGGGACACAGCACAGGGATGACCAGAGACTGGGGACACAGCACAGGGATGACCAGAGACTGGGGACACAGCACAGGGATGACCAGAGACTGGGGACACAGCACAGGGATGACCAGAGACTGGGGACACAGCACAGGGATGACCAGAGACTGGGGACACAGCACAGGGATGACCAGAGACTGGGGACACAGCACAGGGATGACCAGAGACTGGGGACACAGCACAGGGATGACCAGAGACTGGGGACACAGCACAGGGATGACCAGAGACTGGGGACACAGCACAGGGATGACCAGAGACTGCGGACACAGCACAGGGATGACCAGAGACTGCGGACACAGCACAGGGATGACCAGAGACTGCGGACACAGCACAGGGATGACCAGAGACTGGGGACACAGCACAGGGATGACCAGAGACTGGGGACACAGCACAGGGATGACCAGAGACTGGGGACACAGCACAGGGATGACCAGAGACTGGGGACACAGCACAGGGATGACCAGAGACTGGGGACACAGCACAGGGATGACCAGAGACTGGGGACACAGCACAGGGATGACCAGAGACTGGGGACACAGCACAGGGATGACCAGAGACTGGGGACACAGCACAGGGATGACCAGAGACTGGGGACACAGCACAGGGATGACCAGAGACTGGGGACACAGCACAGGGATGACCAGAGACTGGGGACACAGCACAGGGATGACCAGAGACTGGGGACACAGCACAGGGATGACCAGAGACTGGGGACACAGCACAGGGATGACCAGAGACTGGGGACACAGCACAGGGATGACCAGAGACTGGGGACACAGCACAGGGATGACCAGAGACTGGGGACACAGCACAGGGATGACTGCTGACCTTTGGGGAGGGAGGGGGAGCGGGTACCTGAATTTGACAGGTACCCGCTCTTACTTCCGCAGAGTTTTTTTTTTTTTATCTTACCTGTTCCTCGATCCAGCCGCGCTCTGTCTTCCCGGCTTCTGTAGTGTGGGCGCTCGTCGGACAGCCGGATGCCCAGTGCGCATGCGTGAGAAGCGCTGCGCTTTGTGATTGGTCCGGCGGCTTCTGGGATCTGTCATGTGTCCCAGGTACCGCCTTACCATTCACAAGGAGCACTGCTTCTTGTGCATGCGCACTTGGGACCCGGCTGTCACGCACACTACAGCCGGGAAGACAGCGCGCCGCTGGATTTTCCTGGCGTGCCCACAGATAAGGCTCGGCGTGCCGGCTGTGGCACGCGTGCCACGGGTTCGCCACCACTGCCCTACGGTGTTTTATAAGTGGATGCAGTATGTTAAAACAAACACAAGATGGCAGTGTCCTGCAGAACAGTGCCATTCAAACTGCAGCCCCATGGAACTTGTATGCTGAATCGCAGGACTTTGCTAAGGAACAGTGTAGTAAAGAACTACATTTCTCAGAGGAGCTGGCTTGTGTACCGAGGTATATATATATATATATATATATATATATATATATATATATAATAAAATCCCGGGAGATGAGACAGGAAGTGCAAGGGGAGAGATGAGTACACTGACTGCGGGAGGACCAGGCCATGGAAAGAGAGAAACAGAGGAAGCAAAGAGAGTCTGCTGATCACTGACCTTGCCACAGTGTACTTATTATACACACTCTGTCAGGAATGGACTTGCCAGTAATGGTGGGACCCACCTGCCTTGTGGACTGCAGTACCAGGGCTGGCCAGCGGGTGCTCCCGGCAATCAGAGACTCAACCCTGCAGCCAGCCAAACACCTGAAGTTGATCATGCAGGTGTATTTAAGGGATGGCCAGACCTGCAGTCTCTTCCTTGGTGTGTGTTTTTTTCCTGGGCCCTGTATCTTGTTCCTGCATCCCTGTTCCTGTTCCTGTTCCTGTCTCTGTCTCATTCGTTGCTGACCCTGCCTGATCCGGACCTCTGCTGACTTCTCCTGTTTTATCCCTGGCTTGTGACCCCGACCATTCTCTGCCTGACCCCCTGTACCTACCTGCCCGATTGTTATTGACCCGGCCTGCCTGACGACGCTTGCATTGTATGTACTGTTATCTGTGGGTGGTTTGGTTTGTTTGCACTGTGTTATGTTTTAGTATTGCACTGCGTTTATGTTTGTATTGTTAGTCTTTAATAAATTATATTGTTTATAACTTATCTGAAGCCTGCGTTTCCCTGCGTCAGTCACATACCTCTGGTCACACCCCGGAGCCCTGACATTACACCAAGGCCAATCCTGACCAGAAGTGGCTGCACAGGGAAGCCATCTTGGCTTGTTGCTGGGAAGGATGGATCTTGATGAGGTTGTGTAATTATCTCTGCTAGTGTTTGATGACAGAGAGTATGCTTATCAAACTCTGAAGGAGTATCCCAGGGATGAACTGCTAGAATGTATACGGATCGCTCATTGCCTAGTAGATCAGGGCACAGAGTTCTCTGAGGTGCAGCCATTGATTCAGGTTTGTGCTGAGTTGGTTTCATCTGGTACCCCCGAATGCAGGGATGAATTTTTGCCGCCATTTAGTGCCGACCAGGTAGAGTCCCTGGTATGGTTATTAGAGGATGATGTGGATTACTTTCTGGAGAGTTATTCTGCATGTTCACCACAGGTACTAAGAGATTGTATAAACGCAGTGCAGTCATTGACCAGACAGGCTTTGTGTAAACTGAGCTTTGTTCAACCCATACTGCAGACATGGTCAGACTTGTTGCACCGAGCCTCAGTCAGCTTACAACATCATTCCTCCACTCAAGGCATTCTTCCTGCATCCCCGACAGCACCCCCAGTGACTGCCCAGTATACTCTAACTACCACATACCAGTCCTCTGCTCCCACTTGCTGCGCCTATCCTTTCTTTAACCCTGTAAAGAAGTTCTCTGTAGCAACTGCTCCCTCCTCTGTTCCATCTTCCAGCTCTTCTCTGTCCTCAGCTGCTCCATTCGTTTTCAGACCTGCGTTTACTTGCAGTGCCCCAGTAGTTAAAACCAGAAAAAAGTGGAAATTCTTTCCAACCAGTACCATCCTGCCAGTATCCAAACCGGTGAGCCTGCCGTCTGAGAACCTGCCTTCCGTGGTTCAGCCTGGTGCCTCGGCACCCGCACTTCAGCTTGATGCCTGTACCCAGCCTGATGCCTGTACCCAGCCTGATGAACTGATCCAGCCTGATGATCCTATCACGCCTGATGACCCAGTGCCCGCTGTCGAGCCAGACGATCCGGTACCTGATGACCCGGTGCCCACTGTCATGCCTGGTGACCCGATGCCCGCTGTCGAGCCAGACGATCCAATGCCTGATGACCCAGTGCCCGCTGTCATGCCTGGTGACTCGATGCCCGCTGTCGAGCCAGACGATCCAATGTCTGACCCAGTGCCCGCGGTCATGCCTGGTGACTCGGAGCCCACTGTCATACCTGGTGACCCGGTGCCCGCTGTCATGCCTGGTGACCCGATGCCCGCTGTCGGGCCAGACGATCCAATGTCTGACCCAGTGCCCGCGGTCATGCCAGTTGACTCGGAGCCCACTCTCGTGCCTGGTGACTCGGTGCCCACTGCCTTGCCAGATGACGCGGTGCCCGCTGGCGAGCCAAATGACCTGATGCCTGGTGACCCAGTGCCCGCTGTCATACCTGGTGACCCGATGCCCGCTGTCATGCCAGACAATCCCATGCCTGATGACCCAGTGCCCGCTATCATGCCTGGTGACCCGATGCCCGCTGTCGGGCCAGACGATCCAATGTCTGACCCAGTGCCCGTGGTCATGCCAGTTGACTCGGAGCCCACTGTCGTGCCTGGTGACTCGGTGCCCACTGCCTTGCCAGATGACGTGGTGCCCGCTGGCGAGCCAAATGACCTGATGCCTGGTGACCCAGTGCCCGCTGTCATGCCTGGTGACCCGATGCTCGCTGTCGAGCCAGACGATCCAACGCCAGATGACCTGGTGCCCGCTGTCGATCCAGACGATCCGATACCTGATGACCCGGTGCCCGCTGTCGTGCCAATTGACTCAGAGCCCACTGTCGTGCCTGGTGACTCGGTGCCCACTGCCTTGCCAGATGATGCGGTGCCCGCTGTCGAGCCAAATGACCTGATGCCTGGTGACCCGATGCCCGCTGTCGAGCCAGACGATCCAATGTCTGACCCAGTGCCTGTGGTCATGCCAGTTGACTCGGAACCCACTGTCGTGCCTGGTGACTCGGTGCCCACTGCCTTGCCAGATGACGCGGTGCCCGCTGGCGAGCCAAATGACCTGATGCCTGGTGACCCGATGCCTGTTGTCGTGCCTGGGGGCCCGGCGCCCGCCGCTCCGCCTGGGGGCCGGTGCCCGCCGCTCCTCCTGGGGGCCCGGTGCCTGCCGCCCCTCCTGGGGGCCCGGTGCCTGCCGCTCCGCCTGAGGGCCCGGCGCCCGCCGCTCCGCCTGGGGGCCCGATGCCTGTCGCCCCGTTTGGGGGCCCGATGCCTGTCGCCCCGCCTGGGGGCCCGATGCCTGTCGCCCTGCCTGGGGGCCCCGGTGCCTGTCACCCCGCCTGGGGGCCCGATGCCTGTCACCCCTCCTGGGGGCCCGGTGCCTGTCGCCCCTCCTGGGGGCCCGGTGCCCGCCGCTCCGCCCCGGGGGCCCGGCGCCCGGCGCCCTGCCTGGGGGCCCGATGCCTGTCGCTCCGCCTGGGGGCCCGATGCCTGTCGCTCCGCCTGGGGGCCCGGCGCCCGCTGCTCCGCCTGGGGGCCCGGTGCCTGCTGCTCCGCCTGGTGATCCGGTGTCCAGCTCGATGTGCCTCTGCCCGGAGTCCTGCCGGAGTCCAGCTCGATGTGCCTCTGCCCGGAGTCCTGCCCGGAGTCCTGCCCGATGTGCCGTTGCCCGGAGTCCTGCCCGATGTGCCGTTGCCCGGAGTCCTGCCCGATGTGCCGTTGCCCGGAGTCCTGCTCGATGTGCCTCTGCCCGGAGTCCAGCTCGATGTGCCTCTGCCCGGTGTGCCGCTACCCGGAGTCCTGCCCGGTGTGCCGCTGCCCGGAGTCCTGCCCAGTGTGCCGCTGCCCCGGAGTCCTGCCCGGTGTGCCGCTGCCCGGAGTCCAGCCCGATGTGCCGCTGCCCAGAGTCCTGCCCGATGTGCCAGTCTTTGATATCCCGCCAGTTACCAGACCCGGGCGGTGGAACATTTTGGCCAGCTAGGACTGTTTGGAGCGTCCTGAGGCCGCTCCTTGTGGGGGGTGGTACTGTCAGGAATGGACTTGCCAGTAATGGTGGGACCCATCTGCCTTGTGGCCTGCAGTACCAGGGCTGGCCAGCGGGTGCTCCCGGCAATCAGAGACTCGACCCTGCAGCCAGCCAAACACCTGAAGTTGATCATGCAGGTGTATTTAAGGGATGGCCAGACCTGCAGTCTCTTTCTTGGTGTGTGTTTTTTTTCCTGGGCCCTGTATCTTGTTCCTGCATCCCTGTTCCTGTTCCTGTCTCTGTCTCATTCGTTGCTGACCCTGCCTGATCCGGACCTCTGCTGACTTCTGTTTTATCCCTGGCTTGTGACCCCGACCATTCTCTGCCTGACCCCCTGTACCTACCTGCCCGATTGTTATTGACCTGGCCTGCCTGACGACGCTTGCATTGTATGTACTGTTATCTGTGGGTGGTTTGGTTTGGTTTGTTTGCACTGTGTTATGTTTTAGTATTGCACTGCGTTTATGTTTGTATTGTTAATCTTTAATAAATTATATTGTTTATAACTTATCTGAAGCCTGCGTTTCCCTGCGTCAGTCACATACCTATGGTCACACCCCGGAGCCCTGACACTCATTTTAATTCTTTTGATCATTCAATAAACTATGTACCATACTACACTATGAGATCCCCCCTCTTTTTGGCTCCATTATGAGCACTTAACCCCCAGGATTCTGGTTTATCCAAATTGGAGGATGGGATATACTACAAGACCAGACCTCTAAGAAAGACCCCGAAGAGGGACCTCTGATTGACACCTTCCTTTATGTGCATGAGATCAAAGGTGGACAATTTCTAGACCAGACCAATTTCCATCCGATGGGAGTCCTTTAAACCGGATTACATCATCCAATGCGCAATATTTTAGTGCTTCTGGTGAGTTTGCATTCTCGCTATTTTCTCGCACACCACCGGATGTCTTACATCTTCCTGGCCTATTATCCACTCCCAGATCTAATTACTCCCTGGAATTTGATCTACTCATTTGAAGTGACATTTATACCACTAAGACTTTTTTATCGGTCTACATGATCATGTCTATTTTATTTGCTTATGAATTCTTATCTATGCGCTGCACTACAGTATTTTGTTTATGACTTTCTAGAGAGGATTTGTTAGTTCCTTTTTCTGTGCATTTGCTGCCAACATAGCTAGCACTCGCTGATGTTATTTACCTTTTAAAAAAAAAACATTGTCTTTAACACTGTCTGTAATCATTAGTGTCCATTTAATAGCAGCTTCAAATAGCTCATCAAGAAAAAATCATTTTAATCCCCCATGGTTCAGCTTCTTTTAGGGGTGCTAAAAACAGGTGGAGCATGTAAGATAATCCCAAAGGTTGAACTTATCCTTTAACTTTATTTATTAGGCTTTTTCCCCCTCTATTTTCATCTGGTGATCTGGCCAGTAACACACCTCCTGTATTAGAGTGCTCCCATTCTGGATGAAGGTGCACAGGGGGTATGTTTGAACAGCAGCACTGTCAGTCGTGGGGGGGGGGGGGGGGGGAGAGTGTAAATGATCTAGCAGATTTAGATACAGTAAAAAACTGAAGCCAAACTCCAGCTAAAACCCGGTACACATTGAAAGTTTTTTTTTTTTTCATTCAACCTGGTTTGTTGAACATTAAAAAAATGACAGATTGCTGTGCCAACACAAGCGATGTTGGAGCAGCGATTTCCCCCACTGTGTTATTGCATTCCAGAAGAATACACTGATCAGCTGTCGCAACCATTGGCTGCAAGTGGTGATTGAATGCTAGTTTTTCGATCAATAGCCCGGCTTCTGTTGGACAAACTGCTGTACACACTGACCGAACGTCAGCTGGTTCCTGCTGAACCGGCTGATTTTCGGACAATGTGTACCCAGCTGTACACTTTATAATCAGTTACAGCAAACTTTTTCCTTCTTAGATAAAGGTTTTACATGAATAAATAAAAGATGATCATTGTAAGCACCCCTGTCAGTGTTAAATGGTTTGTCTTATCCCTGTAAACTGATACATCTGGAAGAGAGCAGGTTCTGTTGAAAAACAAGAGACTTACTGGCTGGATCACCAAATGGAAATAGAAGAAAAAAGCCCTAAAAAGAAAAAGTAATGCATCAATCACATCTAAGAGTTTGTAAGTTGCAATGTAATAAATGTTTGTTTTGGGTTTAACCCTGACATTGGGGTGTTTCATACACAATCCAGTGGCTACAGCCACCGGGATTGTGTATAAAACTAATAGGCAGACTAATGCCTGTCAGCCGGGAAGCAGTCAGGTGGCTCCGCTGCCACCAATTGCTTCCACAGCCCCCAGCAACGGTGTGCCCTCCCACGTGGGCACTCTCCTGCCATGTAACCGGGCTCCGCTTGGCGATCTGTGGACGTGGGCATAACCATGGTGGGTGCAGGAGATACAGGAGAGCAAAAACATGTTCGTTCCCCTTCTTTGTCCATGACATCACTTCTGGGTCACGGCTGTCACTTTCCCGACTAGAATAGCCAGGGAAAGATGAATTGTAATACGGTTTGCATTGCAATACATCTAATGGATCACATTGGAGACATGTAGGGTCTTTTAGACCCTCAAAAAAGAGAGACCTGTCACCAACAAATAATCACATAGGGGACTTTGTGTCCCCATGTGATGAAAAAAAAGTTAAGCAAAATAAAAATGTTTTTTTGTAAAAAAAATATATAAATTTACACCCAAGCATATAACATTCCCCCCCCCCCCCCCCCCCGTTGTGTGAAAGTTATAGCATCTATAAAACTATGGTATAGATAATGGAATTTACACAGCTTTTACTTTCTGACTGCTTATCACATTTCTTGAGGTGCCAAAATACCAGAACAGTACAAACACCATCAAATGACCCCTTTTTTTTACACAAAGTTGTCACTTAAATGATATATTGCTTAAACAAACCATTGGGTATATGTGGAATTAAACCCCAAAATATATTCTGCTACTTCTACCAAGTATTGGTATGCCACATGTGTGAGACTTTTTGGGAGCCTAGCCACATACAAGAGCCTGAAATCCAATGACTGCTTTGAAAGCCATAACTTCCTCATTTCACTTCCTCACTACCTATCACAGATTCGAAGGCCCTGAAATGCCAGGATGGCACCAAACCCCCCAAAAATGACCCCTTTTTGGAAAGTAGAAACCCCTAGGAATTTAAAAAGAGGCATTTGTCCTTCCACTTCACTGCGAGCAATTCTTCATTTTTCAAGCAGGTGTTTTCCCCCCCGTTCTAAGACGGGTATTTACAAGCCGATTAGGTCACACGGTGCCACATGTGTCCTGTCATGTACCGCTTGGCGGTATCTCTAGCAACCCACAGGACAGAATTCCCCAGGGCGCGGGGTCTAAGTCCCAGTCTGCTTATTCACCAGGGCCCCGGATGGTGGGGATGGACTTGGAGCAGACTGTGACCAGGTCGCGGCCCCTGAGTGCACCCGCCTGTGGTAGAGGGAACCGCCAGAGGTATGCACTGGGAGAGAGCCTGATGTGAAGAGGCGGATATACCTGGGCATCAGTGACCGGATCCGTGCAGGATGGATGAACGGATGGATGGCAGGGTAGTGTAGCGTAGTCAGACGGGCCAGGTCGGTAACAGCGGAGACTGAACGGTACAGAGCAGCAGACAGAGAGTAGTCGGGTCACACGCCAGGTTCAGCAACAGGAGGTCAGATGATCAGGGGTATACAGGAGGCCAGGGATCAGAGCAGGAGAAGGTCAGCAGAGGTCAGGATCAAGCAGGGTCGGTAACAAGGTCAATCAGCAGGCAAAACGAGCAGGAACAGATAATAAGACCATACGGCAATGTGAGTCTGTGCAGGGCTGGTTTAAACAGTGCGCCCTGCACTGTCAGTGGTGCCAGGTGAGCGATTGCGAGTGTGCATGCGTGGCCGCTGCCGTTGCCATGGCTGCCTAGGTCCTAGTGCCTGCTGGTTAAAGTGTATCGGCGTTCTGTGCATGCGCAGACCCGCGCGCTGCCGCGATCCCTGACATGTCCATTCCAAGATTGTACAAATGTCTAAATAGTGGCATGCTTGAATAAAAATTGTCCACGTATAAGTGGTAACCCATATGGCAAAAGGATGACACCAAGTCCCAAACTATCTTGCCACTGCTCCCCATGTAGTCTGAGCATCCGGGGGGCTCCACGTGACTATCTTTTCCCTCGTAAATCCAAAACTTATATGTATAGCCTGTTGCCCTCTCACA